TGTGGGTTTGTGGGTTGTGTGGGTCTGTGGGTCTTGTGGGTTTGTGGGTTTGTGGGTCTGTGGGTTGTGGGTTGTGTGGGTTTGTGGGTTTGTGGGTTTGTGGGTTGTGGGTTGTGGGTTTTGTGGGTTTGTGGGTTTGTGGTTTGTGGATGTTGTGGGTTTGTGGTTTGTGGTTTGTGGATGTTGTGGGTTTGTGGGTTTGTGGGTCTGTGGGTCTGTGGGTTTGTGGGTTTGTGGGTCTGTGGGTTTGTGGGTTTGTGGGTCTTGTGGGTTTTGTGGGTTGTGGGTTGTGGGTTTGTGGGTCTTGTGGGTCTGTGGGTTTGTGGGTTCTGTGGGTTTGTGGGTCTGTGGGTTTGTGGGTTTGTGGGTCTTGTGGGTTTGTGGGGTCTGTGGGTTTGTGGGTTTGTGGGTTTGTGGATGTTGTGGTTTGTGGTTTGTGGGTTTGTGGATGTTGTGGGTTTGTGGGTTGTGGGTCTGTGGGTTTGTGGGTCTGTGGGTTTGTGGGTTTTGTGGGTTTGTGGATTGTTGTGGTTTGTGAGTTTGTGGGTTTGTGGATGTTGTGGGTTTGTAGGATTGTGGGTCTGTGGGTTTGTGGGTCTGTGGGTTTGTGGATGTTGTGGGTCTGTGGGTTTGTGGGTCTGCGGGTCTGTGGGTTTGTGGGTCTGTGGGTTTGTGGGTCTGTGGGTCTGTGGGTCTGTGGGTCTGTGGGTTGTGGGTCTGTGGGTCTGTGGGTTTGTGGGTCTGTGGGTTTGTGGGTCTGTGGGTCTGTGGGTTTGTGGGTCTGTGGGTTTGTGGGTTTGTGGGTTTGTGGATGTTGTGGGTTTGTGGATGTTGTGGGTCTGTGGGTTTGTGGGTTTGTGGGTTTGTGGGTTCTGGGTTTGTGGATGTTGTGGGTTTGTGGGTCTGTGGGTCTGTGGGTTTGTGGGTTTGTGGGTTTGTGGGTTTGTGGGTTCGTGGGTCTGTGGGTTTGTGGATGTTGTGGGTTTGTGATTTTGTGGGTTTGTGGGTCTGTGGGTTTGTGGGTTTGTGGGTTCGTGGGTTTGTGGATGTTGTGGGTTTGTGGGTCTGTGGGTTTGTGGGTCTGTGGGTTTGTGGATGTTGTGGGTTTGTGGGTGGATGTTTGTGGGTTTGTGGATGTTGTGGGTTTGTGGGTTTGTGGATGTTGTGGTTTGTGGTTTGTGGGTTTGTGGATGTTGTGGGTTGTGGGTGTGGGTCTGTGGGTTTGTGGGTTTGTGGGTTCGTGGGTCTGTGGGTTTGTGGGTCTGTGTGGGTTTGTGGATGTTGTGGGTTTTGTGGGTCTGTGGGTCTTGGGTGTTGTGGTTCGTGGGTCTTGTGGGTTTGTGGGTTGTGGGTTGTGGGTTTGTGGGTGTGGGTCTGTGGGTTTGTGGGTTTGTGGGTTTGTGGTTTGTGGTTTGTGGTTTGTGGGGTTGTGGGTTTGTGGATTTGTGGTTTGTGGGTTTGTGGGTTGTGTGGGTTCTGGGTCTTGTGGGTCTGTGGGTTGTGGGTTGTGTGGGTCTGTGGGTTTGTGGGTCTGTGGGTTTGTGGGTTTGTGGGTCTGTGGGTTCGTGGATGTTTGTGGGTTTGTGGGTCTGTGGGTTTGTGTGGGTCTGTGGGTTTGTGGATGTTGTGGGGTTGTGGGTCTGTGGGTTTGTGGGTCTGTGGGTTTGTGGGTGTTGTGGGTTTGTGGGTCTGTGGGTTTGTGGATTTGTGGTTTGTGGGTCTTTGTGGGTTTTGTGGGTTGTGGGTTTGTGGATGTTGTGGGTTTGTGGGTCTGTGGGTTGTGGTGTGGTTTGTGGGTTGTGGGTCTGTGGGTTCGTGGATGTTGTGGGTTTGTGGGTCTGTGGGTTGTGGGTCTGTGGGTTTGTGGATGTTGTGGGTTTGTGGGTTGTGGGTCTGTGGGTTTGTGGATGGATGTTGTGGGTTGTGGGTCTGTGGGTTTGTGGGTCTGTGGGTTTTGTGGATGTTGTGGGTTTGTGGGTCTGTGGGTTCTGTGGGTTCTGTGGGTTTGTGGGTTTGTGGGTTTGTGGATGTTGTGGGGTTTGTGGGTCTGTGGGTTTGTGGATGTTGTGGGTTTGTGGGTCTGTGGGTTTGTGGATGTTGTGGGTTTGTGGGTCTGTGGGTTTGTGGGTCTGTGGGTTTGTGGTCTGTGGGTTTGTGGGTCTGTGGGTTTGTGGGTGTTGTGGGTTTGTGGGTCTGTGGGTTTGTGGGTTTGTGGGTCTTGGTGTGGATGTTGTGGGTTTGTGGGTCTGTGGGTTTGTGGGTCTGTGGGTTGTGGATGTTGTGGGTTTGTGGGGTCTGTGGGTTTGTGGGTCTTGTGGTTTTGTGGATGTTGTGGGTTTGGGTCTGTGGTTTGTGGATGTTGTGGGTTGTGGTCTGTGGGTCGTGGGTTGTGGTTGTGATGTTGTTGGGTGTCGGTCGGGGGACAGAGGCTGTGGAGCTTCTGTCGTCTCGTTTTTATTTGGTAAGATTTTGTTTTATTTGAATTTCATAAATGAGCCTAAATGTTTCAAATGTAAAATCTACAAAGTGTAGATTGTGCAGAGTCGAGTCTCAGGTCTGGTTCTGGTTCTGGTTCCTGTTTTGTCCAGTTCATTAAGTTTAATAAGTTCCACGATCCAAGACAGACTGTGAAAAGTCAAGATCTACAACCATGATGGTTCCTGGCTCCAATAGCAGCTCACATCAGCAGGTACAGAATGAATCCTGCTCTGTAAAGTGTCTTTGGGGACAGAAAATGTCTGTGAAAGTGCCACATAAATAAAGACTGACAGGATTAGAAAAGTGAATAAAATTAAAGTTTTGGACATTTGATTTTTCACACTAAGTTCAGCCTTAATACGACACATGAAATCAACACAATCTGATCCCCAAACATCCTGGATCTGATTCTTTGCTCTTAGTTCATTTAATAATTTTTATAGAAGTATCGGATCGGGACTCAGTATCGGCAGATACTCAAAATCAAATGACTTGGACTCGGACTCGGGGGCAAAAAAAGTGATCAGGACATCCCTAATTGTAGGTATAAGTGAGCGTAACTTAAAAACAGAGATGAGGTACGACTTAAGCTGGACGAACCCTGTGCGATTTTTGATCCTTTTTCAGATGATTTTTCACTTGTGCGACTGTTTTGGGGATCGGGCCGAGTTTTGGCTTCATCGTGTGTCCTGCTTCATGTCGTAAACATGCAAAATTTAACCAAAAAAAATCCACGAAACAGTGAGGCCGCGAAAAGTGAACCATGTTACAGTGAGGGACGACGAATCACCGTATCTGAAAGGATTTGTGTCCAGACTGGTCGTTTCTGTGTCGCAGTCAAAGCCTTCCCTCCACACAGGAACACAAAACCTCACAACATCACGTGGGCGGTTAAAACAAAGAAGTGCAGCGTCATGTCTGAAGGTGCAGCAGCTGATTTTGACCTGAGGAAGTTGGCAAGTGTGAAAGTATCAGCAGCTGTAGCTCCGCCGTTTCCTGTTTGTCTCTGGTTTTCACGTCTCTCATTTCTACTCAGCCAAACCTGTTGTAAATATAATTTCAAGCCTAAAATGATTCTGTAGAATGAACATTTGTGTCAAACATGTAGAACAGTGGTCGTTCTTCAGTCTCTCCTCACTGTCCTGGATCCTCTGAAATAAAAAACACCAAATATTTATATCTCTGATGCAAATCTAAACCTAAACTCTGATATTTGCCCTTTTAACCCAGATTTGAACTTTAAAGGTTCAAATCACACTGTTTTCTGATCTGTTTTAATTTTTCAACACAAACTCACACTCCATAACAAACAAACAAACAAACAAACAAACAAACAAAAAACCTGGAGTTGTGTTTGTGGAGTTTCGTCCCACTCTGTGAGAAATATGATAGCACCATCTGCTGGACACTGTCTGTAACTACAAGCAAAAAAAAAATAAAATAAAAAAAATAAAAATCTAAAAAATCTAAAGACCCAGAACTAAACCAGGACTAAACCAGGACTAAACCTGGACTAAACCAGGACTAAACCAGGACTAAACCAGGACTAAACTAAACCAGGACTAAACCAGGACTAAACCAGGACTAAACTAAACCAGGACTAAAACCAGGACTAAACCTGGACTAAACCAGAACTAAACCAGGACTAAACCAGGACTAAACCAGAACTAAACCAGGACTAAAGCAGGACTAAACCAGGACTAACCCAGGTCTAAACCAGAACTAAACCAGGACTAAAGCAGGACTAAACCAGGACTAACCCAGGTCTAAACCAGGTCTGAAATCAGAAACACAAACTGATTGACAAATTCCATCTTTGTATTTTATTTTATTTTATTTTTTCATTCTGAAGAATCAGAAGAGGAAAATACCAGAAACACAAAAACACAAAGAACAAGAACAAAACAGAAACAATCAAATCTGTAGAATTTTAATTAAATATTAATGTAATAAACTTTAAAGTACAGAGTTTGTGTGAAGAATCACAGCAGAAACATAAAAACAAAACAGTTTGATAATTATGTTTTTATAATAAAATAAAAGGCACAGTTCACAGTAAAAAAGTTTTTGTTTTTGTGTAAAAGTTGACATATGAATCATTTTATTTATGACTCTGTAAAATGTTTTTGTTTTTTTATTTGTGGATGTGTCTTGTTCTGAACAAAAGAATCTTTATAAAGACTCAGTTTAATGAAATAAAAATAAAACTCTGACGTCTGTTGCACTTTCCTGTCTGAGCCACACGAGGCGCTGTCACCGAGAAAATACACAACCTGTTTACAACAACAAACAACAAACAACAAACAAGAGTCAGAGACGAAAAACAAACAAGGCCCAAGAAAAGAACCACGTTCAAAGAACAAAATTATTTTTACGTCAAACATTTTGACTTTTAGACCAAGTTTAGACCAGGTTTAGACCAGGTTTAGACCAGGTTGTGAGGTTGTAAGATCCACATTCTCTGTATTTGACCCGTCCTCCGGGTCACTTGTGGGTCACTTGTGGGTCACTCGTGGGTCACTTGTGGGTCACTTGTGGGTCAGACGGGTCCGTGCCGGGCCTGGTACCGGGACAGGACGTTGTTGGTTCGTCCCAGTTCCTGTCTGAGGTCGGCCACTTCCTGTCGGAGGGCGGAGTTTTCCTTCTCGAGGAACGCCGCCCGGATGGCGATCTGGTTTTCCTTCAGCCGCCGCGCGTCACGGGAACGCTTCGCCGCCATGTTGTTTTTACGCCGCCGCGCCCAGTAACGGTCGTCCTGGAAACACGTCAGACCCGAGTCAGACCAAACCTGGGTCAGTCCTGGTCTGGTCCCGGTCTGGTCCTGGTTTAGTCCTGGTCTGGTCTTGTTTTAGTCCTGGTCTGGTCTTGTTTTAGTCCTGGTCTGGTCTTGTTTTAGTCCTGGTTTAGTCCTGGTCTGGTCCTGGTCTGGTCCTGGTCTGGTCCTGGTCCTGGTTTAGTCCTGGTCCTGGTAGTCCTGGTCCTGGTCCTGGTCCTGGTCCTGGTCCTGGTCCTGGTCTGGTCCTGGTCTGGTCTGGTCCTGGTTAGTCCTGGTCCTGGTCCTGGTCCTGGTCTGGTCCTGGTCCTGGTCCTGGTCCTGGTCCTGGTCCTGGTCTGGTCCTGGTCTGGTCTCACCTTCAGGTCTTCGGGCATGTAGACTTTTCGGGCTTTCTTGATCATGGGTTGTGGTTTCAGTTCTTCGGTGGAAAAGCGTCTCTTCGTCGGGTCGAACACTTCCTGTCCCGGGACCGTGGACAGGGCCAAGTCCACCGGGTCCGGCTCAAATCCCACCGGGATCTGGATCGAGTCCGGGTCTATGGGACTGGGAGTGCTCCTCTGGTCCGACAGGCCTGAGGAGACACCACACCTTCAGACTTTCACACGTAAAAATGGACTCATCGAACCTGTAAACCGCCGATGTCTAAACAGGAAGTCAGCATGGACGTGCTTCCGGCTCCATCCACTCTGGCTCCAGTTCACTTTCTATTAAAACGACAACAGGCCCCAGCTGCACAGACGTCTGTCTCTGCCCTCACACGATCTACTCACGCTCACGACACAAACCTGGAAGACGTCTGGAAACGGAGAGAGAGAAATCAGAGAACAACGGTGTTTCAAACTGCAACTTTTAGAAAATGAAGACGTCGCGACCTCGTCATCGTCACATGACCAGAGGAGAATCACAAACAACAACCAGTAACAACCACAACAACAACCACAACAACCAAGACGGACGACGAGACGAGTTTGTGCTGCAGACGCTTCCAAGTTGATTTGCTCTGATTTCATCTCCTGTGAAATACAACAGCAGCCGAGACACAAACACAATTATTATTTTTTTAAATATAATAATTCAATGATTAAATAATTAATCATGTGTTCTTTCTGGTATTGTGTGTGCAGTGACTCTGGCTGTGTCCTTCACAGCGCCACATACAGGTGGGACATGTGTATTACATCATTTTCACTCAGAGCTCCGTCGTCTGGACGTGAACATTTATTGATCTGAAACATCTGTGGACACACATTTTTTTCAACCAACCAAAAAGAAAATCCAGGAGTGTCGTGTGGACGTGGCCTTAGACCAGTTTAAGACCAGATTTAAACCGTTTGTTAAACACAGATAAAAGAGACACAGGAAAAGTATCACAACTTTACAGAACTTTACTCTGTGGTGAAAGTGTTTAAGACACTTTACAGAGTTAATGTGAGAGTGTTTCACACACATTTTAACAAACTTCAAATGTGATTTTGAAAATTTGATTAATTCTTATTTGTATAATTTTGTTTGTTTGACTCAAACTATGAGCCTCAGATTTTCAGCAGAACTCAAACAAAAAAAAACTAAATATATTTAAACCGAGTTCAGGAATGTGAAGTGTAAGATCCACGTTCTCTGTCCTTCACCCGTCCTTCACCCGTCCTTCACCCGTCCTTCACCCGTCCTTCACCCGTCCTTCACCCGTCCTTCACCCGTCCCCCGTCCTTCACCCGTCCTTCACCGTCCTACCCGTCCCACCGTCCTCACCCGTCCTTCACCCGTCCTCCTTCACCCGTCCTTCACCCGTCCCCCGTCCTTCACCCGTCCCCGTCCTTCACCCGTCCTTCACCGTCCTTCACCCGTCCCCGTCCTCACCCGTCCTTCACCCGTCCTTCACCCGTCCTTCACCCGTCCTTCACCCGTCCTTCACCCGTCCTTCACCCGTCCTTCACCCGTCCCCCGTCCTTCACCCGTCCTTCACCCGTCCTCTGGGTTAAACGTGTCTGGAGCTGCTAGAAACGTTCAAACTTCATTTTACAAGATTCTTTTGGAATCAGGAAAAAACAGAATCAAAACAGAAGTGGAACAAAACCAAACGAACTCACTCACCTCAAGAACTAAACCAGGACTAAACCAGGACTGAACCAGGACTAAACCAGAGACTAAACCAGGACTAAACCAGGACTGAACCAGGACTAAACAAGGACTAAACCAGGACTGAACCAGGACTAAACCAGAGACTAAACCAGGACTAAACCAGGACTGAACCAGGACTAAACCAGGACTAAACCAGGACTGAACCAGGACTAAACCCGGTCTGGGTCTCACCTGGGGGAGGGGGGCTCTGGTGGAGGCAGCTGGAGGTGGAGGCGTGGCTTCGGTCCATCCCTTTGCTCGGGACCTGGGAGCTGATTGGCTGTCGCAGGGCGGTGGGCGGGACTTGTGAGATGATTGGCGGGTGGTTCTGGCTCAGGATTGGCTGTCGGTGTGCGGTGGGCGGGACTTGGGGAGAGCTCTGGGTCAGGATTGGCTGGTGGAGGTGATTGATGGGACTGTTCTGGCTCGTGATTGGCTGATGATGGTGATGATGATGATTGACGGCGCCGTTCTGGTCCGCAGTTGGCTGCTCGAGGAGGTGGGCGTGTGTCTGGCCCGTGATTGGCTGCTGGTGATGACTGACGTTACTCGGGCTTATTATGGGCTGCTCGAGGCGGAGGTTTCCGTTCTGCGCCGCGATCGGCTGCTCGTGCTGGTGGGCGTGGCCGTGGGCGGGGCTAGGGGGGATGTTCTCGTACAGAAACTCGTCCAGGTCCATGTACTCGAGCTGGAAACCCTCGGCGTCGTACGGGAGCGTCTTGTCCCACAGCGTCGGTCCGAGGAACGCCGACTGAGGAGCGGCTCTGTCCTCGTCCTCCAGAGACTTGTGCTTCTCCTGGAGCTGAACCGGACCTGCAAGAACCAGAACCACATCAGAACACGGACCGGACGCGTCCCCGGAGACGCGGACCCGACGCGTCCCCGGAGACGCGGACCCCCGACGCGTCCCCGGAGACGCGGACCCGACGCGTCCCCGGAGACGCGCCCGGACCGGACCCGACGCGTCCCGGAGACGCGGACGACGCCCCGACGCGTCCCCGGAGACGCGGACCCGACGCGTCCCCGGAGTAGAGCCCGTCCGATATGGATTTTGTTGTGGCCGATATGATACCGATATAACTGGAGTTGGAGCTGCCGATATATTTAGTGATGTAAAAATTCACTGTAAATCTTGAATTATTAAAAAAAACTTTGTTTGGCTCTGGTGGTTTTTAAACTGGGTTAATTCAAGAAACATTTATTGTTCTTCTGTCTCTTTACATGAAATGTCATAGGACTAAAGCAGGACTAAACCAGAACTAAACCAGGACTGAGTGTCTCTCTCCATCTCTCGAGCCGAAGATTAGTCCTGGTTTATTTATTTTATGTTGAACATTATATATATATATATATATATATATATATATATATATATTTTTTTTTTATTATATTTCATGCACGCATATTTTTGAAAGTGAGAGAAAGAGAAAACACATCACAAGTCTGAACTAATAAATGTTCTTTTATCCAGACACAAACTGATTGTTCGTAAAAAGAAAATAATGTCAGTGTTTCACATGGAACATGTGACTCTGTGGTGTGTTCAGGGACAGTACGACACACACACAGACACATCACACTGCAGATAAATACACATGACTGTGTCAGGTCCCCCCCCCGTGTGTGTCAGGTCCCTCTGGTGTGTGTCAGGTCCCCCCCGTGTGTGTCAGGTCCCTCTGGTGTGTGTCAGGTCCCTCTGGTGTGTGTCAGGTCCCCCCCGTGTGTGTCAGGTCCCTCTGGTGTGTGTCAGGTCCCCCCCTCCGTGTGTGTCAGGTCCCTCTGGTGTGTGTCAGGTCCCTCTGGTGTGTGTCAGGTCCCTCTGGTGTGTGTCAGGTACCTCTGGTGTGTGTCAGGTCCCTCTGGTGTGTGTCAGGTACCTCTGGTGTGTGTCAGGTCCCTCTGGTGTGTGTCAGGTCCCTCTGGTGTGTGTCAGGCTCCTCTCGTGTGTGTCAGGCCCCTCTGGTGTGTGTCAGGTCCCTCCCCGTGTGTGTCAGGTCCCTCTGGTGTGTGTCAGGTCCCCCCCTGTGTGTGTCAGGTCCCCCCCTGTGTGTGTCAGGTCCCCCCCTGTGTGTGTCAGGTCCCTCTGGTGTGTGTCAGGTCCGTCTGGTGTGTGTCAGGTCCCTCTGGTGTGTGTCAGGTCCCTCTTGTGTGTGTCAGGTCCGTCTGGTGTGTGTCAGGTCCCTCTGGTGTGTGTCAGGTCCGTTTGGTGTGTGTCAGGTCCCTCTGGTGTGTGTCAGGTCCCCCCGTGTGTGTCAGGTCCCTCTGGTGTGTGTCAGGTCCGTCTGGTGTGTGTCAGGTCCCTCTGGTGTGTGTGTCAGGTCCCTCTGGTGTGTGTCAGGTCCCTCTGGTGTGTGTCAGGTCCGTTTGGTGTGTGTCAGGTCCCTCTGGTGTGTGTCAGGTCCCCCCGTGTGTGTCAGGTCCCTCTGGTGTGTGTCAGGTCCGTCTGGTGTGTGTCAGGTCCGTCTGGTGTGTGTCAGGTCTCTCTGGTGTGTGTCAGGTCCCTCTGGTGTGTGTCAGGTCCCTCTGGTGTGTGTCAGGTACCTCTGGTGTGTGTCAGGTCCCTCTGGTGTGTGTCAGGTCCGTCTCGTGTGTGTCAGGTCCGTCTCTGTGTGTCAGGTCCCTCTGGTGTGTGTCAGGTCCCTCTGTGTGTGTCAGTCAGGTCCCTCTCTGGTGTGTGTCAGGTCCCTCCCCGTGTGTGTCAGGTCCCTCTCGTGTGTGTCAGGTCCCTCTCGTGTGTGTCAGGCCCCCCCCGTGTGTGTCAGGTCCCTCTGGTGTGTGTCAGGTCCCCCCCCTGTGTGTGTCAGGTCCCTCTGGTGTGTGTCAGGTCCCCCCCCCGTGTGTGTCAGGTCCCTCTGGTGTGTGTCAGGTCCCTCTGGTGTGTGTCAGGTCCCCCCCCCGTGTGTGTCAGGTCCCTCTGGGGTGTGTCAGGTCCCTCTGGGGTGTGTCAGGTCCCTCTCGTGTGTGTCAGGTCCCTCTCATGTGTGTCAGGTCCCTCTGGTGTGTGTCAGGTCCCTCTCGTGTGTGTCAGGTCCCTCTGGTGTGTGTGTCAGGTCCCTCTGGTGTGTGTCAGGTCCCTCTGGTGTGTGTCAGGTCCCTCTGGTGTGTGTCATGTCCCTCTGGTGTGTGTCAGGTCCCTCTGGTGTGTGTCAGGTCCGTCTGGTGTGTGTCAGGTCCGTCTGGTGTGTGTCAGGTCCCTCTGGTGTGTGTCAGGTCCCTCTGGTGTGTGTGGTCAGGTCCCTCTGGTGTGTGTCAGGTCCGTCTGGTGTGTGTCAGGTCCCTCTGGTGTGTGTCAGGTCCGTCTGGTGTGTGTCAGGTCCCTCTGGTGTGTGTCAGGTCCCTCTGGTGTGTGTCAGGTCCCTCTGGTGTGTGTCAGGTCCCCCCCCGTGTGTGTCAGGTCCCTCTGGTGTGTGTCAGGTCCCTCTGGTGTGTGTCAGGTCCCTCTCATGTGTGTCAGGTCCCTCTGGTGTGTGTCAGGTCCCTCTGGTGTGTGTCAGGTCCCTCTGGTGTGTGTCAGGTCCCTCTGGTGTGTGTCATGTGTGTCAGGTCCGTCTGGTGTGTGTCAGGTCCCTCTGGTGTGTGTCAGGTCCCTCTGGTGTGTGTCAGGTCCCTCTCATGTGTGTCAGGTCCCTCTGGTGTGTGTCAGGTCCCTCTGGTGTGTGTCAGGTCCCTCTCATGTGTGTCAGGTCCCTCTCATGTGTGTCAGTCCCTCTGGTGTGTGTCAGGTCCCTCTCATGTGTGTCAGGTCCCTCTGGTGTGTGTCAGGTCCCTCTGGTGTGTGTCAGGTCCCTCTCATGTGTGTCAGGTCCGTCTGGTGTGTGTCAGGTCCCTCTGGTGTGTGTCAGGTCCCTCTCATGTGTGTCAGGTCCCTCTGGTGTGTGTCAGGTCCCTCTGGTGTGTGTCAGGTCCCTCTCATGTGTGTCAGGTCCCTCTGGTGTGTGTCAGGTCCCTCTGGTGTGTGTCAGGTCCCTCTCGTGTGTGTCAGGTCCCTCTGGTGTGTGTCAGGTCCCTCTGGTGTGTGTCAGGTCCCTCTCGTGTGTCGGTTTAGGTTCAGTTTGTTCTTTCTGCTCTAATCTGAAGCTCAGGTCTGTTTCCATAACATCAGCTCACGTTAAGAACATCCCAGACACACGAGCACCTGTCCAGCACCTGTCACGTGTGGGGCACCTGTCACGTGTGGAGCACCTGTCACGTGTGGGGCACCTGTCACGTGTGGGGCACCTGTCACGTGGCACTGTCACGTGTGGGGCACCTGTCACGTGTGGGGCACCTGTCACGTGTGGGGCACCTGTCACGTGTGGAGCACCTGTCACGTGTGGAGCACCTGTCACGTGTGGAGCACCTGTCACGTTAAACTCAGAGGAACAGGACATAAAGAACAACATCTGGCTCTGCTCCTCAGCGTGAACATATGAAGACCTTTTTATAAGTGCATTTTCCAAACTCTGGCTCAGGGAATATTAACACAGGGAAGTATCGAGAATCAGACACGAACCGATACTGAAACGAGAATCGAAACTACAGCAGATCCTCATTTTTCACAGGTATTGATACAAAAAAAATCCCACTGACAAAACGGAGAAGAACGTTTCCTGAACAAGAATAAGACACGGAGACTGGAACACACACCTGGACCTGGTTTAGACCTGATTTAGACCTGGTTTAGACCTGGTTTAGACCTGGTTTAGACCTGGTTTAGACCTGGTTTAGACCTGATTTAGACCTGGTTTAGACCTGGTTTAGACCTGGTTTAGACCTGATTTAGACCTGGTTTAGACCTGGTTTAGACCTGGTTTAGTCCTGATTTAGACCTGGTTTAGACCCGGGGGCCAGATGCGGTCCTCCAAGACCTTTAATCTGGCCCTCAGCTAATTTTCTACTAAAATATTTTAATGATATTTTCTATTAAAATGTTGTTAATTTTCTGTGGTGTTTATCACAGCAGCGTCTCCAGAGTTTCTGTACGTGGCCCCTCCCACCAGAGCAGCACAAATGAAGACTTGTCTCTTTCCAAACGCTCTTAAAGGACGATCGTTTTGACTGTTGACCGTGACCCTCATCAGAAAAATGTCCAACATGAGAAAAGTGGAGCCGAGTGCAGGATTTTACAACAAAAATGGAGGAATAAAGTTTCAGGTTCATAATATTATAATATTTAGTAAAAGAAAGAGTTAATCAGTTCAAAAAGATTTCTGTAATAGATTTGTGTTTCTCTGCACAAATATTTGAACTTCTTGTTATTTTTGGGGTTTATATGACCTGAGTTTTCTGATCCGGACACTTTGGATCAAAGTCGGTTGGACACGACCCCCGGAACAACATGAGTTTGACATTTCTGGTCTGTAGCTTAAATCTTATTAAAATAGCTGAAAATATTTTTTTCCCCCATATACACGATAAATATTAATATTAATATTGAATTAATATTATAATTTTAACGTATGAATGAAAAAAACACAACTCCAGGTCTGATTTTGAGGAGGAAACAACATGTGAACACGACTTAAAGCTCATGTGAGTCATTTCTTTGTAATGTCGGACTTTTAAAACGAGTTATGAACGTAAAATATAATAAAAATAATCTGTACAAACTTAACAGACTGAGCCTTTTGTGTTTGAATTCAGTCATTTTTTTCAAAACTGGGTCAGAATTTCAAACACAAATCTCCCAAATCCACGAGTGTGAGTCTTGAATGTGAATCAGGACGTTCTGTTTTGACCCGAGACCTTCAGGCGACACCTGCGTGTTTTTATTCTGGAGGAAACGAGCGTCAGTGTCGTAACGTTTGTGATTTTTATAATAGAAATGAGTCCGTGTGTGTGAATGAGAAATGGGCCAAGGCGACGACGCTGACGCAGGCGACACGTGGACAAAGATTCAGCGCAAAAAACACAGAGAGAAAACGCTCGAGATTTAGACGATTATCTTCACACAAACCAACGGGGCTGAGATTTAATCACACTCTAATGTTCTAATGTTCTGTTGTTCTTGTTCTAATGTTCTGATGTTCTGATGTTCTGATGTTCTGATGTTCTGATGTTCTAATGTTCTGATGTTCTGATGTTCTGATGTTCTGATGTTCTGATGTTCTGATGTTCTGATGTTCTGATGTTCTGATGTTCTAATGTTCTGATGTTCTGAATGTTCTCCTGAATGTTCTGATGTTCTGATGTTCTGATGTTCTGATGTTCTGATGTTCTAATGTTCTGATGTTCTGATGTTCTGATGTTCTGATGTTCTGATGTTCTAATGTTCTGATGTTCTGATGTTCTGATGTTCTAATGTTCTGATGTTCTGATGTTCTGATGTTCTGATGTTCTAATGTTCTGATGTTCTGATGTTCTGTTTCTCCTCAAAAACACGAACACAAACAGAGCTGGACTTGTGTTTTGTTTCGTTCATGTTTGAGTAAAACTTTATTTACATCTGCAAAAGTCCAAACGCTCTGTTCCACCTCGTGATGTCACAGAAGATCCAGAGAGAGAGAGAAGGAGGGAGAGAGAAAGAGAGAGGGAAGGAAGGAAGGACCAAAAAAGGATAGAGAGAGGAGGGAAAGAAGAAGAGAGAGAGAAAGCAAAAGAGAGGGAGAGAGAACGAACGAGAGACAGAGAAGGAGCGAAAAGAGAGAGGGAGAGAGAGAAGGAAAAAGAGAGAGAGAGGAGGGAAAGAGAGAAAAGGAGGGAGAAAAGGAGGGAAAGAGAGAAAAGGAGAGACAGAGAGGGAGAGAGAGAAAGAGGGAGAGCGAGAAAAGGAGGGAAAGAGAATGAGAAATGGAGAAGGAGGGAAAGAGAGAGAGGGAGAGAGAGAAAGAAAGAGAGAGAAGGAAAGAGAGTGAATGTGAAAGAGAGGGAAAGAGGGAAAGAGAGAAAAGGAGGGAGACATAAGGTGCAAGAGAAGAAAGGAGAATGAGAGACGGAGGAGGGAAAAACAGAGAGAGGAGGGAGAGAAGAAGGGGGAGAGAAAGTGATAGAGACAGTAAAAAAGAGAGAGAGAAGGAGGATGGAGAGAGAAGGTGAAAGAGACAGAGAGAGAGAAAGCGAGTTGTGTTTTGTTTCATTCATGTTTGAGTAAAACTTTATTCTTTCTCTGCATCTCCAAAGCTCCAAACGCTCTGTTCCACCTTGTGATGTCATGAAGTGGTCGTTGTCGCTCCTTTTCCCTTTCGTTCAGGAGAAATCGGCGACTCCAGGACTGAAATGATCCAAATGATTCTGGTGAAAGTGTGTGGAGTTTAAAAACATAACGGAGCGCATCCTGTATCACCACGTGATGACATCACGAGGTGGAACAGAGTGTTTTCAGTTTGAGAGGAGAACTCAGCCTAAATGTGCAGGTTTGTGTGTTAAACATGAAACAACACAGCTCCAGGTGTTTGTGGTGAGGAAACATCAGAACGGAGCAGAAAACAGAGAAAATGGTGATGATCTGGAGATAAAACTGGGTCAGTGGTTTGGGAAGAAAAGATTCACACGTCCAGGAAAAGTTCAAAAGCGACAAAAACTGTGCAAAAGGAAAAAAAAGAAAAAAAACAGATCCACAAGTGTAAAACTTCAACTGTCGTGTGTGAAGAACGTCACACTGTGGTGTCAGTAAAATAAAATTAAACTAAATATTTTTTAAAAAGCTCCAAAGAACTGGTGTTTATCTGTTTTTTCTCCTGGGAGGAAAATATTAAATTAGTTTAGTTAAAAGTTCACATGACAAAAATAAACCAGGACTAAACCAGGACTAAACCAGGACTAAACCAGGACTAAACCAGGTCTAAACCAGGACTGAACCAGGACCAGACCACAACCTTCACTTATGAAAAACACCTTGAGAGTTTTGTCCCTCAGACTTAATAAATTTATAATTTTCTTTGCCCCCTCCCTCATGTCATTAAAATAAAATAAAATAAATGTAAAAATGCTAAAAAATAAATAAAATAATAATAATAATAATAATAATGATAATAATGATAATAATAATAATGAATAATAATAATAATAATAATAATAATAATAATAATAATAATAATAATAATAATAAATAAAATAAAATTTTATAAAATAAAACAAAACAAAACAAAAACTGCAGTGCTGATCTGTTTTTCTTCTTTTAGGAGAAAAATGTTACATTTATCCAAACTTGAATCATTAGTTTGAGTTCACGTGACAAAAACACGATCTGATTTAAAACTGTTAGATTCTAAACTTTCCTAGATTTGTAATTTTAGGCCATTTATTGCTTTTTTACTTTTAATTTCTCTGTAAATATTGTGTGCGCATCATGACCTGTTGAACGCGCAGGTCACATTTACGCGGAGGGTTTGAGCGATTTTCGAGACAAAGAAACAAAAATCCGAAGCTCATTATTGATCAGCGGGAGTCGTCTTACCTTCGTGGTGCAGAGGCAGTTTGAGCGGGTTCTCCAGCAGAGACTTGAGCACTCCATGCCCGGAGAGAGGCAGGAAAGCCGGCTGCATGTGCGCGCAGGGCCGGGGCACCTTCTCCATGGCTCCCCGGGGTCTGGAGCCTCGAAACGGATCAAAATCTGCCCGAAAAGAGACGACAAGTCCGGGGAGGGGAACAGCTAGTGTCGTCTGAGGTTTGCCATCTGGTTCTGGGTTCGGTTTTGGGTTTATTTTACAGTTTGCGCGCCGAGTCAGGACTTTAAACTGAACCAGGTCTAAAGCAGGTCTAAACCAGGACTTCACAAGGTCTGGGTCAGTCCTGGGGTTAGAGAGAGTCAGGTCTGTGGAGAGGAGCGCCTGTGCCCGGAGCAGAGGAGCGGTGTGAGCGGAGGGAGAAGCCCGGGTTGGAGAGCGCGGAGGGCGGGTAGAATGATGCTGGCGGGTCGGTGTGTCGGAGCCTGGAGCGACCGCGCCGGGAGCCGTGTGAGTGTGACAGAAGAGCCGTCAAAACCTGGAGCCAAACACAGACCAGGACCCGCCCCCGGAGCCCGGAGAGACACGCCCCCGGAGAGACACGCCCCCAGCGCCCGGAGAGACCCGCCCCCTGAGCCCGGAGAGACCGCCCCCCGGAGCCCGGAGAGACACGCCCCCGGAGCCCGGAGAGACACGCCCTCCCCGGGGACAGGTGCTAATGCTAACTGCTAACTGCTAAGCTAAATCTAAACAAAACATGAGTCAAATTCAACTTTACAAACACATTTTCACATTTTCTTCTCTTTAGATTTTTTATTTATTTGTTTATTTATCAGAGACAATGCACATAAAAAAAAAAAAAAAAAGCAAAACAAAACATTGAGCTACACAAAGACGTCATATTTGTGCGAGGTTATAGCAAAAGTGCTAGTTTCTGCCTTCAGTCCCTGGACAGGTCTTTATACTTTAAACTGATCATCTCACAACTTTAAAGGGACATTAGGTAACTTTTCAGGTAGAGGGTCTATCACCTGCTCGTTTCCACGGAGATGTAACTGCTTTTCCTCTGTAATGTTCCACAGTATGGCATTATTATCAAAATTAGCATTTTGTCTTGTTTTTCTTTGTGTTAAATCCGCTCCCTCTGTCGATGACACATCAGGGTTCACTTAAACGGTTTGAACGTGGGTCGTTCACTGGTGAGAACTTTGGTTCCAAAGGCCTGAAAAAAGCCACTGTGGAACATCACAGGCAAAGCAACACTGTCTCCATGGACACAAGCACTGACACATCACCAGAAAGTTTAATTTAAATTCACTTTTTCTTCTGCTTATCCAGAGTCAGGTCGCCGAGGCAGAGGTCTGAGCAGAGAGTCCTGGACCTCCCTCTCCCCAGACACTTCCTCCAGTGGGACCCTGAGGTGTTCCTCAGCCAGTCCAACCAGAGACAGAGTTCCTCCAGAGACAGAGTCCAACCAGAGACAGAGTTCCTCCAGAGACAGAGTTCCTCCAGAGACAGAGTTCCTCCAGAGACAGAGTTCCTCCAGAGACACAGTTCCTCCAGAGACAGAGTTCCTCCAGAGACAGAGACAGAGTTCCTCCAGAGACAGAGTTCCTCCAGAGACACAGTTCCTCCAGAGACAGAGTTCCTCCAGAGACAGAGTTCCTCCAGAGACAGAGTTCCTCCAGAGACAGAGTTCCTCCAGAGACAGAGTTCCTCCAGAGACAGAGTTCAGAGTTCCTCCAGAGACAGAGTTCCTCCAGAGACAGAGTTCCTCCAGAGACACAGTTCCTCCAGAGACACAGTTCCTCCAGAGACAGAGTTCCTCCAGAGACAGAGTTCCTCCAGAGACACAGTTCCTCCAGAGACAGAGTTCCTCCAGTGTGTCCTTCCTCAGGGTTCGTCTGCACGTGGAGGAGCAGCAGTTCTACTCCAGGGACCACAGGTGAGAGTAAACCAGGTCTAAACCAGGTCTAAATTAGGACTAAACCAGGACTAAACCAGGTCTAAACCAGGACTAATCCAGGACTAAACCAGGTCTAAACCAGGACTAAACCAGATCTAAACCAGGTTTAAACCAGGACTAAACCAGGACTAAACCAGGACTACACCAGGACTAAACCAGGACTAAACCAGGACTAAACCAGGACTAAACCAGGTCTAAACCAGGTTTAAACCAGGACTAAACCAGGTCTACACCAGGACTAAACCAGGACTAAACCAGGTCTAAACCAGGACTAAACCAGGACTAAACTAAACCAGGACTAAACCAGGACTAAACAGGACCAGGACTAAACCAGACCCAGGACTAAACCAGGACTAAACCAGGACTAAACCAGGACTAAACCAGGACTAAACCAGGACTAAACCAGGACTAAACCAGGACTAAACCAGGACTAAACCACAGCTCTCACTCATGAATAACACCGTGAGATTTTTGTCGCTCAAACTTAATAAATTCACAGTTTTCTTTGCTCCGTCCGTCTGTAGAAAAAGTCAGAGTCGGTGTTTTATTTCCCGTTTTACTCTGAGCTGTTTATCTCAGTAATTATTCACTAAACACTTTTATAATTTAATGACTTCCCTTCGTTAGCGTCAGGACACAAACAGCATCAATTATTGAAACTTTAACTGGGCCATAATTGGTGCGAGTGTTTCTCTGATAATTACAGAAATAATGAGCCGAGTCTTTCCGTCGTGTGGCCGTTTATCCTGTTTTCCTCATCAATTATACAATAAAGAGATGATTTATGATTTATTATTTATTATTCATTTGTCTCTGTGCTGGTCTGAAGCTCCTCTGTGTTTTTAAAGAGGAAATAAAACACTTTTATTCACTTTAAACTCTGTATTAGTGATGATTTTTGGACATTTTATTGCAAACTCTGAACATCTGCAGATTTCTGATCGAATCTTAAGTTTATTCTGACCTT